ACAAAATTAAGTCAAACCACAAAGGAAACGGAGGAGGTACAAACAGCTTAAAAAAATACAAATAAATTGTGGGGTGATGATTAAACAGCTCAAAATGTTTACATCTCAGGAAAAACATTTTGCTCTATTTGTGTTGATTTGGCAGTAGCTTTCCAAAGTTATACTTTGAATGACATCCAACATCATATTATAGAATATTTTGTTAGCATAAAATAGTAAAGTATGCTGATTAACAACTCAAACAAACTATAATACGAAATAATAAGGACGATCAACAGAGGTGTCAGCTTGAGTTTACTCATTTAAACTTAAACTTGGACTTTAATATCAATGACTTATGACTTTACTTGAGCCTTTTGACTTACTTGATACCCAAAGATGTAAAACTTTGACACAAATCAATTTATTTCCTGAATCAACTAACATTGACACTATTCATCCCCAGCAAGTTGTCACTTAATTCCCCAGAATCACTTTGTTTGAAACAACAACATCCAATGAAGTTGCAGGAACGAACCATTACGTTACTGAGTTACAGTTGGAAAAAAACAATTTTGTTTTCATGTTCAGTTGGCGTTAATAAACTCAAAGTTTAGGTCTTGGGACATGAGTGCATAGACTGGAGGAATACACTGAGGTCATGATCATGTATTTTTTCTGGGAATTTGGGGCAAGGTTAGCAACCAGGGGTGTGGGCGGGGTAAAAGGACAGGAGAGTTAACATGTCATGAGTATCATTGATACCATGTTTTTGTAGGGCTATTTTGTGTAGAGAGATGTCAGAAAAGAAAAGAGAGAGAGATAGGGAGTGATGCATAACAAGGGCCACCAGCTGCACTTGAACTGGGGACATTACAGACATGGTCTGCCATATAGGCCACCATATAATGCCAGTTTTGAATGTCACGATTACTTATATGAATATGATTGAGTAATGCCAAATAGTTAAATCACTAATGTAAATCTACCACTCATTGTTCCAATAGAAGTTTCCCTTACCTTGAGAAGCAACGGTATAATTGTTTTCATGTAGAAATAACACCGACAGTCTCGACCTCACTATTAGCTCTGCCTGATTTATAAGCTGTGAGTGCAAACCGGCCAGCACTGCCGTTTTTCCCAGGTTTCTCCCGTATTTCAAGGCCATCTCATGGTGCCCTCCCGTTTTGTGCATGTCGAACTTTATTATGAATAGTCATCATACAAGGATTGTATGTTTGATGTTGCCTAAGTTGCCAGATCATCTATGAAACACGACCCAATACGACATACAATTGGCTCTCTGGGCAGGCGGACGGGCCAGCTGATTTATCACCTAACAACTTACCCATCGCAACAACTAACGATGTTCACTGAAACAACAGCTTAAAAGACATGATCCCTTGATGACTAAATGACTCTGAGATCTATCTAAAGCTCTAAAGTGATTTAAAGACTTAGCCAGTGGGCGCTAACTCTGTTTTTTATGCAAATGCTGGCTGATGCATGTCCAAACAGAGGCAGGGAGAGAAGAATTAACAATCCAGAGTGTGTGAGTGATACTAAGTGATACTTACTCTACTCTGTTTTAAAACCCCAAATTTTCATAGCTCATTTCTGCAAAAACATTGTCTGCAGAACGCCTTATGTGTGAGTGTGTGCGTGAGTGTGTACCTAACCCCAACCCAGATGTATGATATATGGATGTCTCTATATGATCCTGGGTGTGTCATATGAAGCCCCACCAGTCAACACTCATTTTTTGGGTATGCAGTAACACACGACTAGTGGCAAAAAGAAAACACAAGAAGAATGTGACTCTAGGATCTTATCAGCAGCATCATAGTGTACTGTAATTAAAGTGGATGGAAACAGATCTGGATATGGAAACTGATCTTTCAAATTTATCCCTTTTTATCCCTGTAAGAGCAAACAACCTCCTGATATGTATCTAGGTGGGCTTGAATTTAATCTTTTATGTTTGTGCCTGTTTTCCATGGCTCCAGATTTTTGGTTATGCCCTGGTATGTTTACATTGGGAGATTGTGCTAAGATAGTATCATTTAAAGATCTTATATGGACAAGTTCTATGGAAGAAAAAAGTCCAAATGTGTTTGTATTTTGTCTGTACCTGATATGTACCTAGGTGGGTCCGAATTTGACGTTTTGATTATGGTGGTGGAAAGCAAATATCAAGAAAGATTAGGACTCTGATTTGTATCAGATAAATTTAAATTCATCACATACCTTTCTTTCTACCCATTGCCAGAGATGTAGAATTAAAACATTGTCTGGGAAAGTTCGTTACAGAACATATTTAACTTACACAATGTAAATTCTTACTTCTCGTTCTTGTCTACAGGCTCACAGAGTGATGTGGAGTGAGGTATATCCTGTCTTTTGACACAGAAACACAGTTTTAGAGACTTCTCCCGCCCAACCAGCCCTTCGTCATGCTTCCATACTGCACTGTAAGACATCACCACGTCTCATGCTCCACTTCCAATGAAAACAGAGCCTGCTTAGCCTAAACGGATGTGTGTTCAGACTTGAAAGGCTTACACCTACACTAGTATAGAAACCATCCATGAAATAACAGCTGTCACATCATCATTGCAGCAAGCTCATCTACAGCAGCACTGCCTCACCTTGCTGCACCGAGAGCATGGAAGACAGGGCTGTAATGACAGATACAAACAAGCGCAAGTTCGCTTAGGGTTTTGCCTCAACCCATCTTTTTCACGAGAATGGGGAGTCCACACATGTGTAGGAATCAGGAAATACCTGCAGGTATAACTAAAGCATAAAAAGCAATATAACAAAACATTTTATTGAGCATCTGCACTGGCTCTGCCAAGGAGGGGTTACATGATGGTAAGAAAGTATTATAGAATGGAGGAAATAGACCATATAATTAAGTGATAATGCAAAGTGATTGTCATGAACAAGGTGTTACTTTCCTCAACTATAGTGGCAGTGTTTTTTTACTACACAAAGAGTGTTCACTGGAATTACGTTTTAAGGCATCCTGATGAGAGATTTTAATGGACATATGCCAGCCGATCCTTCAACAAATATTAACTTTGGCTACAGTAATAAAACAGCATTAGGCAACTGTGTTTAAACAGCATGTTGTACATGTAAGTGAAAATAAACAAGCAGGTGTCCCACTATAAGAAAACATGCACAGAGAAGACAGGGGAAGGGAGTGGCTAACTAATTTTGAGTATCAGGGTATCAGTATATTTTTACTTTTATACCATGACCACTGACCTGATAAAACACTGTGTGTGAAAATCCAGATTCATTTCTCGAAGTTTGCTTGTTTGCTTGAGAAATACAACTGCATGGGTGTGCTTTTTGAGTCTCCAAAACAGCTCACTACAACACAGCCCTGAAAAATCATTACCAATGTTTTATGGCTAATCTAGCAGTCGTCCAAGGACATACATTTGAGTCCTCTTTCCGGCCACCTGATGAATGCAATCCATTATTCACTGAGCTTTAAATTCTTTCACCAACTTCTGAGAAAAATATCTAGGTTTTCAGTTTAAATAAAAGCGCTCGATGTTCACAATATTCCCCTAAATGATGAAAAAAATCAGTTTTTGCAGCTGTAAATCATGTTTTTTTGTTGACTGTTTCTTTCAGAATACATATATAAATAAGTCTATTACTTCTTTTGTAGTTTACATTAATTTTTCCACCTGATATCTTGCTAACAACATTATCTTGTCTTGGAGTGACTGTAATGTTCAGGTTTGCTTCGATAGTAAGCTGTCTGTGCACAGTCTCACAGGTAAACCAAAACAATGATCTGAAAGTCTCAAGAACAAGTTGTGTGTTGATTCTCTGTGGGTTTAGTAGTAGTACAAACTCTTTCACTTCTCATGGACTCATTTAATTCAGCATTAATAGTAAAAATGTGGCTTAATAGATCTTTAACTGGAGCTGTAGAGTAAAGCATAACTCTTGTTGCTGTTGTTACCTTACTGAGCATGGACACTGAGTTAGATCAGTAGTTAGATTGTTTGCACCTGTCAGCCAATCAGAAACAAGCATTTTCTGAGTGAAATATGTTGTTATATAATCTCTGTTTTACTCTTTGCTCTATACTTGTCTTTCCTTCCCTTGTAACAGTAATGCACTTCCTTGTGGGAAAGAGTTTCTCTCTTGTCACCTCCTCTTCCTTCTACACACACACACACACAGAGGAGTGGAACCTACTATGAATCCCCTTTATTAGTAATAATGTATACTAATGTTTGAAATCACTGAATAAACTCACTTTTCAAACAGGAAAAATTACCAAAGACACACAAATTGTAGAACAGTTATTCTGTATGCCAGTAATCCTCAGTATCAGTGTCGGTGCACATCAATCACTGTCAACAAATCATGTTTCATAACTTACATAACTGTAACAGCTATTGTACATTTTACTCCCATTAACATTTTACTTTACTTTGGAATCACAACCTCCTAAGATAACCCAACTGTACAGTCTAATGCGATCCAATACAACTGTTTTGTAAAACTCAAAAGGCCTTATGTAAAGTAGAGCCAGTGTTTGGTTAACTGTAGTAACAACAGTTCAACATGGCGGGCTCCCTCCATAGATAAAAAGAGCTCATTTCTAAGGTTAAAAAAACCAACAATGATTCTAATTTTCATGTGATTATACACCAAATTAAAACCAGTACCGTATGAATTACTTATATTCCTAATTTCTGCCAATAGATCCTTCTAAATGTTACACACTGGACCTTTAAATTAAAAATAGTAATATAATTAAAGCACTAAAAAGGTTTCACCATTCAGGTGCGACATTTTGTCAATTATATTAATCACATAACACACAGCACATAGCTACAGTTTCATTAATCACAGCTCACGGCTATTGTCTAGTTGTTTCAAGCAGTTGTCTTCTTCTCCAAACTTGAAAAGAAAATGTCAACACACACATACACACACACACAGAGACACACGAGCTGGACCACCCCGCCCCGGTCCCGCCCAGCGGCCCGACCCCATGGAGAACAGACAGACAGCGGATCATGTGACAGCAACAATTTCTTAAACGACAAAAAACACAGAGAGACACACAGAGAGAGAGACAGAGAGAGAGACAGAGAGAGAGAGAGAGAGAGTTTCGTAACATAGGGAAGTTTTGTGGAGCCATCGATCAGTGGAGCGTCTTGTTTTCTGAGGCTGATGTCAGTGACACAACGGAGAGCTGAGCGTCGCCTGCGTCACTTTTTCTGCGGAGTTGCCTCACTGACTTTCTCACCGAAAGGGAGCCTCTTTTTTTGCCGTTCAGCAAGGCAGCTGTGAAACTATACCGACTCCCCTACTAGGAATAGACTGCATATTCCTCCATCTGAGTCAAGTAAGTCTTGCCTCGCTCCGAGTCGTGGGACTTTACACAGTGTGTGTTTGATACGGTGACCCCGGCACACTGATCTTATTTCCTATCGGATGTGCTGTGGTAAAGCCTGTAATTGCTGCGGGGTCTTTTTTTAAGGAAAAAAAAAAAAGGTTGGATGTGGACGTAGATGTGTTCTGTGTTAAAGCAAACTCTATTATGGGAAAGGGAAGAAGTCCATAAATTCAGGGTTGTGGGGTTTTTTAGAATGAGATCAAGCTGCTGTCTGATGAATTAGACTAATTAGTTAATTACTTCAAGATGGTTGTTTTATGGTAGTTTGTTGATTTTGTTTGTTAAATCAATATTTTTTGCATATTTCATGTTGTTAAATTAAAGGAAAGTACAAAATGTATGTATTGGTCTGATGACTAATGATCTCAACGCTGGCTGATAACTGATGTAACCCCGCAGTAGGGCAGCAGACACAATGCTATTTATAGCCTTTAGAGCCTTTTATAGAACAGAGTTTTTTAAATGATATTAAAATAAAATAAGTGAAGTGAAGTACAGGCTTGAGAAAGAGAGACCTTCTTATGTGTCTCCCTCTGTGTAGTTAGTTCCTCTCTTTTTCTTTGTTAATGACATTTAACAATATGTGTGATTTTTAATCTGGATTAAGATGGTTTTAATATAGAGATTAATACGCATATTAAAATTGGTATGATCTGTTAGGACTAGAAGAGAGACTTTGTTAAATTCCTTATTTTGTCTAAATATAAATAATATAATTTAAATAAGAAAAAACACAATTAAATTTAGCACATTCCCATTTTTTTTTCCCATTCCCACTGAAACCTTTAACTGATTATCAGAATTGTTGCTGATTTTCTGTCATTCAAATCACTGACATGAGTTGATTCAATGCTTCGGCTGTAGATCGTATTGACAGGCTGTCAGTAAAGGCTGAATCCGGTGCACGATCAGTGTGTGAGACTGAGAAAGGACCCTCCGTATTGCAGTGTGGTGTCAGAGCTGAAAGTGCAGTGTTACACACATGTGACAGGTGTGTGTGTGTGTTAGAGAGAGCAAAAGATTCATACATTCAGTCGCACCTGAACATCTTTGTCCTCTCGTTTCACTACATCCTTTACAACACACATCTCTTTCTCCCTGTGTGTTTCTCCGTCTCTGTCTCTCCCTGTTTCCTGTGCTTTGTTTCAAGGCTGAGGCTTGCGTCACACATTCCACTTGGCATATGAAGCCCTTATCCTGTTTAGAGCCTGGAGTGAGAGAGAAAGAGGGAGAAAGAAGGGAGGAGAGAGGGATGTGGATGTGGGGGGTGGACGGGTGGAATGAGGGCGACCTCTTTCTCTCTCTCTCTCTCTGTCTCTCTGCCTCTTTGTCTTACTTTAAAAAAAAAGTTTAAAAAAGAAGAGGAAAACGGATGAGTAGACCTCTTTTTAATTTATTTCTTAATTATTTGTCTCTCATTAGAGCTGACACACACTTATGCACGCACACACGCCCCCAAATACCCCACCCCTATGCCTTTTTTTTTTCTTTCCCTGAATCAACATGCTGATGTTATCTGGTGGAACAAAATGCGCAGGAGTGTGTACACACACATACATACACACACACACACTGCTCAAAGGGCATGTCCCAGGGAACATTAGGGCTAAACATTAAACTCCTGGATGCTGAAGAGTTGGTGACTCTCCATTAGAAGTTAAGGGAATAAGGACACTGTGGTCCACAGACAGCCATAAACGTAAAAAGCTGTAACTCGTTACACAACTTCACATGCGTGCCAGCGCACACACACACACACACACAGAGTCATGTAAAAGCGCACACACACACACTCTGTTACCGCTTTTAAACCACTGGATTGAGCCACTGTGAGCTCTTTTCTTACCACCGGCCCCCTCCCCATGTTTGAGGTTCACTGAAGTTTTGTCATATTTTGGTTGAAACCCACTTCGTTTTCTTCCCCGTTTCTGTCTCTGCCTTGTTCTTTCCACTTCCATTTTGACATAGTTTGGTCAGAGCGGCTGTTTTCTTTGCCCTTTCTCTCCTTCTATTCCCCCCTCTCTCCTCTCATTCTTTGGGTAGGGAGGTGCAGTGTGTGTGTGCATGTGGGGGGGAATGGGGGGGTGGTCAGACAGGAAACCGCAGGCCCCCTGCAGCAGCACCCCCCCTTTGGCTTCACTCTCCTCCTCCTCCTCCTCCTCCTTCTCTTCTTTACACCCCCCGACCCATCACGCAGTGTGGAAATAATAACAGTCAGACTAAACTCTGAGGGCTTCCGCTTCTCTCTCTCTCTCTCTCTCTCCCTCTCTCCCTGGCAGTGTCTCTTGTTCTCCCTCTGTCCTCAGTTGTCTGGAAAACCTCAAAACTTTGCTCTCTTTGACAAGTACAGCTCGAGGTGTGTGCACGTGTGTGTGTCTGAGTGTCTTTGTCTGTCTCTGAGCCTTATGTCAACTCCAGTGTGTCTTTAAATGTGTGTGTCCAATGTGTATGTGTTTGCGTGCGTGTGTGTGTGTGTGTGTGTGATGATGGATCCTGTTTCCTCTCCCCTGCTGACGGCCCCCTCTGGCTTCCCCCCCGAGGTCTGCGGGCCTGCAGCCCCACAGTCTGCTGGAGAGGAGCGGAGAGGGGCTACATGCCTGTGTATGTGTTTGGGGGAGAAGAACGATTGGAGGAGTGGGCCAGGCTGCTCAGATGAGGGAATAGGAAGCCAAAATAATAGGATAGGGGGCTTCAGCAGGGGCCTTAAAGTGAGAGGAGTCAAAGTCAGTGCTTAGAGGCATCATTAGGGGAGTCTGGATGTGGAAAGGGGCGTAAGGGGTCGAAATTAGGGAGCTGGGAGGTACAATGGGGGTTAAATTTCAGGGCAACAGTGTGGAGCAATGAGAAATTACACTGGACATAAACTCAGAAAAAGGAAAAGTTAAACGCTGGAATATTAGCTTGATGAGTCACATAATTGGGATTGTAAATGAAGAATAATCAGTGCGTCCCCTGAGGGGTTTAAATAGGCAACAAGGTGTGAGTCGAGCCACGGTTTAAATTCCACACTGCAAGCGAAAGAGTATTTAAGAGTATTGATGTTGCTGTTTAGGATGATTTGTGTTTAAAATGACAGTCAGGTGTTAGACAGCACTAATGTAAGGTGAGAAGGTAAAAGAGATGGTTGAGAAAGGCAAAAGAGTCAGAAGCAGAACTGAAGGCTCTAAGTGTGTGTGTTCGTGTGTGTGTGTGTGTGTTGCGGCGTGTTCTTGGACAAAGCTGTTGTCTGGAGGTTTCTGGTCTCTCTGGTGATCTCATCATCTCCAGCCTGTTGCCATTAGAGGGTGTGTGTGTGTGCAGCCCCGTTTGTGTCTGCGTGTGTTTGAGCATGTGTGCGTGTCTGTAATAATGTAGTCCTTTAGTGATTTAGTGTGTGTATTCTGTTGAGCTAGCAGAAACTTGGTGTGCGGCTGTGAGTGTGTATAAGTACGTGTGTGTATGTGGTTGAGTCGGTAGCCAGGGACTCCAAGCCACAATATTTTCCCCTTCAGTCATGTTGTTTTATATCATTCATAGAGAGGGAGAGAAAAAGAGTGCGGGGTGGCGTGTGGTTCCGATAAATACAGTAGTAAAGACGTGAGGGATGCTGAGGAGCGGGTGAAGAAGAGGTGTAGAAGAAGATCTGGAGTGCAGGGGTGGAGAGAGAGAGAGGGGTGTAGGACGTGTTTGCTGAGTGGGTTGGGGTTGAGTACACAGTAGCTCCACTGACATAGAAGGACAATATTTGCAGACCACACTCGACATGCACAAACACACACCCACATGTAGAGCGCACGGGGAGAAAATACTCCTCAACAACTCAGGTAGGGCTTCTTATTTACCAAAACGGTGCAGTACACACTGGTTCCTTGACTTTAACACTATGTGTGTGTGTCCTTTTTACCATCTGAGGGATCTACAGTACCTGGAGATGCTCTGATGAATCAGAGGTGCAACAGCTGTCTGATTTCTGGTTGGTGTTTAGGTTCAGTTTGACATCAGTTACAAAACCGTCAGAAGACCAGTGTAACTATGGCTGCAACTAATGTTTTTTTGAATGATTAATCAATCCGTTGACAATTTTCTGGATTAATCTATTAAAACAGTGAAACACTGAAACATTTTCCGACATGTAAAACAAATAAAATCTGCAAATCCTTACAATTCAGAAGCTCAAACTGGGGAATGTTTTTTTTTTTTTGGTTCAGTTATCAAAATAGCTGCTGCTGATTGATTTCCTGTCTAATCGATGAATCGTTGCAGCTGAAAATACAATTCTGATTCATGATACACAAATCAACAAGCTCCAGCTGCAGGTTGTCTTTTCTCTCCTGAGGTCTCAGGGTTTGTGGAGGTGTACTGAGGAAGATGCTTTGCAGCTAAATTGAATTTCTTTTCCTGCGATTGTCTAAACTTTCGGTGTCTCATTGTATTTATCCTTTTATGACACACCCCAAGGGGAAAGTTTGTCTTTTTCACAAGGACGGTCTCCCCACTTGCCATCCTGCTGTCACATGTTGCCTGATAACACTCCTCTCTTCATTTCCCCCTGTGGTAAACACAAACCACCTGGCTTACACCTCAATGCAGATTAAAGCCAACAACATTAATTATCTGCTGCTGCTGCTACTATACCACCCAGATCTCTGTCTGTCACTGTCTCCCAAATTACCCCGTGTTTGCTCAAACCATTGACAGGACCATTCAGCCCACTAAACTGCAAGTATTTGTGTCTCCAACTACATATGATAAATCAACTTCACCCTCATGTGAAGTGTCACTATTGCATGACAGGTGAGCAGGAGAGGAATGGTATGTTCCCGCAACGTGTGTTCTTTCGAGGATTTGAACGTACTTTGAGTGCTGCAGGGGATTGCCCTGAGATAGCGTGTTCTCTAAAAGCTAATTGTGACCTTTTTTTAGTGGGTGAACATGTATGNNNCATACATGTTCACCCACTAAAAAACATGTGCCCTGTGTTTAAAGGCACACATTTTACTGCACCCAGTCCTCCAGTGACAAGATGAGTCTGCAAATACTTGTTTGATGGATGTTTTTATATATAAATTATATATTATTATTATTATATATAATTTGTAAACTTAACATCTAGCTACACTTAAAGTCCGCCTATTTAGCATTTATGAGAAGTATATGAACATTTAATAAATGGTTTATATTTAATTAATACAACTAACTGTATTGTCAGACATTATATGTTTATACTGGCATCCACCTATTGTTACCCACAGGAACGGTTATAAGGGTTAACAAATATACTTAAATAATTAAATATTTTTATAGCTACATTACAATGTGGCATAAACCGTTTAATAAATATACTATATATACTACATCTTATAAATTCTTTATAGGGGGACTTAAAGTACAGTGTTACCTAATATCTTTGTGTCAGACAAAGCAAGTATTTGAAGATGTCAGCTTAGACTGTGGGAACTTGTGGTAGATATATTTTTGAACAATCTTCTGACATTTTGTACACTTAACAATTAATTGGGGGAAGAAAACAGTTTCAGATAAATTGATAGTAATCGTTACTAGCAGCAATGTGTCCTACTCTTTCAATTTCAGTAGCGGAGGGGAATTATTTAAATGGATAGACGCAAGGTGTGGGGACTTCCACAATGGGGACTGATTATTCAAAGCAGTCTTTTGGAGATTTTGATTTCTGTGTATCTGTAGGGAAAATACCTGCGCGCTGTGCACATTCAAGCTGAGAAGTCGCTTCTTTTGTCCTTTTCCTGATTCGTGATCGATGTGTTTGTGCTTCATACCTGCTTTTTATTATCACCCGTGTGTGTGTGTGATTCACAACCACAATAGAACAACTGCTTGACCTCTAGTTGAACCACAGTACAATACAAACCCGGATTAGAAAACACACCCTCAAAGACATATGCACACACACACACACATGCACACACACGCACGCACAAACAGTTCCTACCTGATTGCAGTCTCTTTGTTTCTTTGGAGCTGGGCGAAGGGCGAGGCTTCAGTCGTCATGTTCACACCCTTCCTGACCCAGCAAGCAAGCATCCTGCTCTCCTATTGGTCTGCGCCCAATCTGGATTCTCTGTGTGTGTGTGTGTGCGCTAGGGTACGACGGCCTGTGTACTTGCCCATTTGTTAATAATTAAAGGCTAACTTGTCTCCAGACTGTGGACTTTAATCAGGTCACATACACACACACACACACACACACACACACAGACTCCCTAAGGGTACATTCTTTGACAGGTCATGTTGCCTTAATGCTCCAGTGAACACACACAGCACCACGCTCATAAACACACTCGTTTAGGCACAAACACAGAGTCATCGCAGCTGCACCTGGCCATTCAAAGCCAAGGTAACTGGAACCACCTTTGAAACCTCACACGCTTTTGATCCAAACACTCAGCAGGCCTCAGTAGGTGGTGTGTGTGTGTGTGTGTGCCTGTTTAGAAATGTGTGCTACCACTGTCTTGTCTCTGACACTGGACAGTTTTTAGGTGCATCACCTGTAACTGTCTTGAAGTCTCCGTAAACAACCCGTCGTAAAGTTGTCTGTAGCTTTGTCTGAGCGGCTGGAGACAACACCCACACACTTAACAAACTCACATAAAATGTGTAGCTTTTGGTGGATGTGAGGAGAAAATGTTTACACTGTGACAGAAGAATTAAGTATGGCTATTGTCTGATGTGATTTACTGGAAGCGAGGTTGATTTACATCTCATCGCTTCTCAAATGTGTGTGTGTGTGTGTGTGCGCGCGCGCATACGTACACATCACTTTAACATCTGTCAAGCAGTTTTACTGTTTATTTCTTTTTCTTCTGTCTTTAAAAAAAAGACTATTTTATTAATTACAGTATTTTAACAGTAAAATATGAAAACAAGACAAATGATAGTGGTGAAATGTAACTAATTGCATTTACTCAATTATCATACTTGTGGGGTACTTCCATTTTAAATTAATATTCATATTTTAAATAGAAAATAAGATAAGAGAGAATACATCACATTATTAAAGATTTAACCAGTGGTTCCCAGACCTTTTGACCTTTGACCACCTACAGAAGATCAGTGTTGAGGTCTGTTGTCATGTTTCAGGTGTCTATGAGAGATTTCCCCTTCTTCTTTTAAACAATCCCTTTTAAGGCCTTAAGAGGTAAAACTCTCCAATATTTCACAAAAAAGGCAAACGTTGGAGAAAGGTCTGAAAGATGAGTCAAAATTTATGTAGGAGAACTTTTTCTCCATTAATCATCGTATAATAGCTCAGAATTATTTTGTGATTTACTATGGAGGAGATCTAGGTTGGGAACCATCAGTCATAGGGGCTCACTATCGGCAAAATGGGTACTTTTTACTTTAAATAATTAAGTACATGTAGCTAATAACTTTTACTTGTAAGGGAGTATTTCTACATTTTTGTATTATTGTATTATTTAAGTAAAGTATCTGAGTACTTCTTCCACCACTGATTCTGGATCACCGAAATGACTCTTGAGTTGTGACTATGTGTATTGATGGCTGAATGTATGTGTTTTATTTTGTAGGAGCCTGCCCTGTGCAGCCATGCTGATGTATGATTACCCTCTGAAGACAGACATGGTAAGACACGTGTGTTTGTGCTTGTGTGTGTGTGTTTGTGTGCTCCCATCATGCCTGAACATGTTTTTGGTGCCATACAGTAACTCAGACCTGCACACACACGCACACACACACCTACACTGCTACGTGTCTAGACAGACTGGTTCCCACATTCCTGCTCTTCCTGGACAAACAGGCTGCTGTACAGTGGACATTTGCATACAATGGGTACAAATACTGCCAGGCAGCAAGCTAATGAACACACACACACACTGTACTCTGAGACATAACAGTTATCCGCTCCCAAACAGAACTGGGTTAACATTTTTTGGCTGGCTGTAGTTGTTTGTGTGGCAGAAACGTATTTTCCCTGTTATTCAATGCAGAACGGAAATTTTTAACTCTCTGCTCTTTTGTCCCCCTTCACTGCTTCCCCCCCTCCTGCATCCTTTCTGTTTCTCTTGCAGTCATTCTTCTCTTCGTTAATGAAAACCCCCGAGCCATACGGATTCTACCACCTCTACCACCCCACGCACATGCACGCCTTCACCCAGTCCCACACCACGAGCAACCCCACACACACCCAGCTGGAGCCCGTGGACCTGTCAGTCAGCAAGCGTTCCTCCTCCACCTCTTCTTCCTCCTCCCCTCCCTGCTCCTCCGCCTCCTCCCCGGCTTCCTCGCGCAGCTCCCCGCCGTCCCCCTACAGCTCGGCGAGCCGCGCCTCCCCGCGCTGCTCCCCACCACACTCCCAGCTGCGCTCCTCGCCCTCCCACGCTCTCCCGCCACCAACTCCCTCACTTCCTTACTCCACGATGATGGGTCCTCTCATTGGACCAGTCATGGTGCCTGTCCTCTACCCCTCGCCTCTCCACCTGCATCAGCAGATAATGTTGAGCCCACCTGTCGCCAGTGACGACGACCATCATCGAAGCAGGGAGCACGAGACAGGTGAAGCCTAATTTATTGTTTGAATTAGGTGGAGCTTTAGTAACGTGTGTTGCTGAAGAACATTTTTTTAAAAACGGAAGCAGTGAGAGGATCAAAACAGTGTGCGAGGGAAAGTGCTGTATTACTTTTTCCTCAAATAGGAAATACCCATTCAGTTTCTTAAAATACACAATATTGTTTTCTCCATATTTTGTGAGCAAAAAAACAAAATGAGGAAATGATTTTCATTTTTTTTCTTTGTTTCTTAGGGAACCAATGTTTTTTTGTTGTTGTTCTGCTTTCTGTGGTCAGATGAAGGTCACTGTCATTCACAGAGTTCACAATCTCTGAATCTCCTAAATTTAATACACACGCACAGAGAGAATAGCAAAGTACATAACTGACAGACACATTTTAATCATAGTGTCTCTTTGTATGCCTGACTAATATTGTAGCATAAAAACAAAACAACCAAAAGAAACACTAGTATTTAGGGTTAAAATAAAGAAATATTCTGCTGTAAAAATGTGGAATGCAAAATGAGACAAAAAAAATTAAGAGAAAAAGTATTTATTTAGTTTACATACTAATATTACATCTGAGAAACATTTAAAAAGAGATGTTAACAACTTGTCACTGTGAAAAGATCCTGACCATGACCCAGCACTGACCATACTGACCAGCCGATTATTTAATTTCTACCCAGTTCATTCTACGAAACCCCTGGAGCTGCGAGGTGACGCCCACGATCTACACAAACCAATTAAAACAGAGCCACGCCCTGAGCTCACTCATGACCTCCACAGCAGCCACGAGATGAAATCATCAGTCATCAGGATACCGCACGAATATGGGTGAGTAACACACCAACACACTCATACAAATTTTTGAAAGAAGCACCAAATGTTTCATTAGTTTCACTGTCTGGTGCAGCACTTCTCCTTTAACCTTATATGGAAGTGGAGGTCAGAATCTTGTTTTCGACCGGATCCATATCTGTTCCTGTTGTGAAATTTTTCAAAACTCAGGTGGAGTCCCAAGACGAGGGCTGGGTATCGTTTGGAAGTTTTTTGATAGTGGGACTGGTATGATTTACTGGTACTGATATCGAAGCAACCCCCTCTTTTTGATACATCAGTGCAGTGGTCAGGGAAAAAATGTGAAACCTGATTCACACAAGAACAGTAACCAATAAAAAGTGCTTTAATGCCTGCAGAGAAACCAATATTCAGTTGACCAAGATTTATTCAGACAGCAAAACAACATATAAAGCACAAAACCGACTGATTGTTGACACGGATAGAAAAAAAATCCAGCAAACACACTACAATCATTGTAACAGAGAACTGTGCGTCTTTTGTGTCTAAAACTCTGGCAGTTTCAAAGTTGAACTTTTCATGCAACTTGAATCCTTAATCCCTGCATCTCCAGTTAAAGTCCAGCCGGGGACCTTGGTTGTATGTTCATTCCCCATCTATCTCCATTCTTTTCAGTTATATTAGTGTCTCAATTATGAGTGCGCAATGGGACAATTATAGCACAGAACATGTTTTTTCAAGCCCATAAATTATATTTTGTTGCATGCAAACCACAAATGTTGTACCACAACTTCAGTAGCAGGTAATTTCTAATTGGCTATTATTATTGGTCACTAGGGAAGTGTATGTGGTCGAAATGTCTCATCTTGTGCTCAGTAATAGACACAAATATAATGGCATACATTTCCTGTCAACTCCTTTCTGTCTCCTTTCTAATAAATGCAAAAATGGCCCAAAAATGATTAAACATTTGGTAGAGAAGTTTAGGTTCAATACCCACCTCCCTCCTTTTATAGGATTGAATGATCTGTATTCATTAAAGTGTTTTAACTGTGCTAAAAAAAACTCTCTGGGAAAGTATGCAAAGATGGCAACAGCCTCTCCAATAGAGATGTTCTGATGCTTTTCTAAAGGACCACCCACATAAAAGTATATAAAGAAAAAGAGCATAATATAGTCTCTTTAATATATTACTTACATTTGGTAAAGAGCACTTTATCACTTATTTAGGACTTGAAACTCACAGTTCAGGACTAGGGACTTGTGTGTCTTGACGTGAGACTTGGAAAAACAATGACCTGGTCCCACCTGTCAGTGGGTGAGCGGAAGTTTACTAAAAACTGCTTAAAAAGACACTTAAGTTTGTAGTTTACAGATCACACAGAACCAGTAACACAACACCTGCCATGAAAGATACATAAACATACTAACTGAACAGTGTGTGGGGTTTGACAGATTCCTTCATTCCACTGTGGCGTCTTTTATTCTGTCGTTTCCTATCTTGTCCATCAGCCACACCTCTCATTACAGCCTCTTCCGGCATCTTTTTATCAACACACAGGTTCATATGAGCTGTCTTGAGTTTGTCAACTCCTCCATATTCCTCTTCCTCCTTCCTTCCAATCTGTCCTTTCTTTCCTCACTCAGCACTTCCTGTATTTTTTAACGCTCATTGTCCAGCATCTCCCACTCCCATCTTGCCGCCCCCTTTCCGCTCTTCCCTCCCTGTTCCTCCTCACTTCCCATCGTCATCTGTTTTGTAAGAGTGGTTCTACTGAGTAACAGCTTTAAAATGGAAATAATTGCAGTGATACCTCTTGTAGACTGGGATGTTGTTGTTGTGTGTAAACTACATATTGTACATATTGAACCTCCCACCCCCACCCCATCCTCATCCGCTATAGTTATCAGGGTATCATGTCATGACAAGCCGCCGTTGCCGTGGAAAAAAGTGAGCGCGTCTGTATCACCTTTCCTCTCAGCTCACTCATTGAATATACTGTATGTGGCCTATACGGGAAATAGGTCAAGTTTGCTCCGTGTGTGTAATAATAATGGGGTGTGTGAAGTGTGTGTGTGTGTGTGTGTGTGTGTGTGTGTGTGGCGGGGGATTGTCGGAGCACACACTCACATACATGCTGAGCTACACTCTGGCTGAAAGTCTTTGATGTGTGTTGGCTGCAATTTGTTGTCTTCCAGCTGTGAGTCTGTAAAGCACACCAGGAATACTTTACACACTCAGACAGACTCAAACACAGCAAACTGACCACACAGACAGAGGAGGGGAGGAGAACAGAGCGCAAATTAAAGGAATAGTTTGACATTTTGGGAGCTTGTATTCTCATATGCCTTTGGATAGATTCCAGTCTGTATGCTAAGCAAACCGCCTGCAGGATGTAGCTTCGTAATTGGTGTATAAACATGAGAGCGGATAGGTCTCTTCAAGAAGATGAATGAGCGGATTTTCCCAATATGTCAAACTGTTCCTCTAATGCGTATGAAGGTGAATACAGCCTTCATGTGTGCACGGTTTTCAAAAAAGCGCCTTTTTCCTCGACAAACTACAACGACACAGTGGCATTTTCACATGTAGCCACTTTGTGAAAAAACAGCATATAAAGGATGAAAGAGCGAAAAACATACATTCTCAAAGTCTCTTTCAGCGTGTCTCTAAATGAGTTTCCATCCACCTGTTTTAATGCAGATTTTTAATTTATGAGTAAGAAAAGCTAAAGGGAAACAAAACTAAACATTGTCATTTTTGCTTTACTAAGGAGGAACAAGGGTGCCTTATTGATAAAACAAAACTGTGTAAAAGAATTATGGAAACATAATTGCATAAGTTTAATTTTCTTTCTGGCTGCACTGTATTATTTTCACCTACAGTAATGCTGGCGGCTCTCTGTACAAAACAATGCTTTGAGTTAAAAGCTAACATGCTCACAGTGACTCCACTAACATGCAGATATAATGTTTACTATGTTCACCTTCTTAGTTTAGCGTGTTAACATGCTGCTATTTGCTAATTAGCATTAGAAACTAAGAACAGCTGAGCCTGATGGGAATCAACTATTCAGCCACAAAAATTTCAGCCTCAAATCAATTTTATGTGTGGAAAGTAAATCCCATCATACAAATGGGAAATAGACATTTAAGATTTTGATGGAAACACACTGACTCACATTGTCATTTGTTGACTTCATTTTTATATCTGTTTGGATGTAAACATCCTCTTTTCCCCATATTTCTCCCATTATAAACTAAACCCATGGCCTCTCTTCCAACTCTGCCAATCCCCCGCATCCTTTCATCTCTCTATCTGTCTAAACCTCTCTCCCTCTATCCCCTCCTCCTTTTTTGCTTCTCATCTTCTCTCTCCCCTCTCCTCCTCCTCCTCCTCCTCCTCCTCCCAGGAAGAAGGAGGAGTAGCGGGAGAAAAAAATACAGACATTTAGAAGGGGATATGAAGGACAAAGAAAAAGCTGATCCCCTCTTGTAGCTCCAGCTTCTTCTCCTCCTTCCCTGAAGACAGAAAGAAAAAAAAAAAGACAGACCCCCTCCTCACTAATTACACAGAGCCTGGAGGCTACAAAGTCCTCCACGCCCACAAACAACAAGATAGTTTAAAGATGTTGATGTAAACAATTAGGAACACACACATACATTCACATGAGATGAATATAGGTGGAGGGACATCTGTGTTTGTGTGCGTGCTCGTGTAAGTGTGTGTACGTGCGTGCACGCCATGTCTCACGTTGTAACGACGTCTGGTTTGAATGCTGTAACATCATCATGAAAGATGTCCAGACACACAGGAAGACAGCTGTGGAGATCAACATCTGGGCTGGGGGTTGAGAGGCCGTGGTGTGTGTGTACATTTCTTGGTTTGTGTGTGTGTGTGTACAGATTATCTGATTCTGTCCCAAAGGAAAACAACATGGGATCACTCACAGTCTTCCCCTCTGTCACCAAATCAGTGTTTGGGAGGCTGTGGTTTTGGGAGGAAGAGTGGGCCGGACGCCTCTGCATATATATGTAGGAAATAAGTCATCTTCTGGTAGAAAAGGCTGCCTCATTCATCAAACACACACTGATTCAATTCATTTATTCCAACCTAATTTGTGCTAAATAGATGTTTGGAAACACAGATACGCAGGTCAGTATGTCAGTAATTGGTGGTGGTGGTCAGAGGAGAAGGAGGAGGAGGAGGAGGAGGAAGAGGAGGAGGGTGGGTGTGAAGGATGAGAAGTCCAAACATGAATCCCAGCAGAGCAAGAGATTGAGAGAGGAAGAGGAGGAGACACAGGGAGGAGGAGAGAGGAGAGGTGTGAAGTTTAAATATGAGGAGTGAGTGTTAGAATAATTGAGGGTGGTTGAGCTGCGCTGACTGACACACAGGAGGTGACCTCATCCCTCTGACACGAGCAGAGCTGAACATTATTATTAGACACTTTCTCATGCTACGCTACGCTAGTAAGCTGCTGAACTTATATAAGAGTAAATTCAACTTTTTAGATCCAGTTTGCATATTAAGGAAGCCATTTAAAGGTCCAGTGTGCAGGGTTGAGTGGCATCGAGCGCTGCAGCTGCAGACTGCAACGCTCTGGCTTCACCCTCCTCTTACAAGCACTAAGGAGAAACTATGATAGGAGAAAGTAAATAATAATAAGTTGACTGTAGCATCATTTAAAAAAACATTCTTTCCTTTCTTCCTTTCCATTCTTTATTTTTTCCCCCTATATATTTTGACTTGAACGACCATTGCCAGTGAACACTTTCAGTATTTGTCCTGACGTTGTCTCTGGTCTCTCTCTACAGGTCAATACGTTCCAGGCAGTAGTTGGTTACGATGAGACCGACTCGTACGTTCTCTTCCTCTACCCTGAAGGTGGCCTGAACTTCTTCGGGACACGACCCAAGGTAAACTGGTTATATACAAGCCCTTAATTCACAGCTTGAGTAGCATGGACATTTTTACCACTGCAGCACTTGTAGAGATGCACCAGTTAAGTTAGAAAATGGTATTCTGATTTGTTTCCGCTCGCAGGAGTCTTATAATGTGGAGATCGAGCTGCCGGCTAGAGTTGGATTCAGCAGAGGAGAAGTCACGTATCTGTACTTCTCCCGAACTGAGGGACCTCACTACAGCGTTACCAGCGACGAGCAGAGTGTTAAAAACCTCTACCAGTAAGTAAAAAACCTAAAGGTTGCATCACAGATCTCCTTACAGCCATTTCTGGCAACATTATCTTTCACCTGTGTGCCAGTGGCTAGCAACATGGCCAGAAAAACATCAATATCTGAACAATACTGTTGTTGTGTAAGTATAAGTTACATTTATAAAGGTTTGTTTCAGAATTAAAGTTAATTATATGACATAAAAAGCTGTATTTAACTCTATCTATTTCTATAAAAGTAGTCAGCTACAGTAGTAATTACTAACTTGCTAGCAGGTTAATTGAGTAGAGCAGCTGTTGTTTGTTAGCTAGTTTGTTAACGGGCAACACACCTCTAATGCTAGCTTTAATTAAATGCAGTGCCTTTGTAAATAAATGTGTTTGTTAGCTAGCCAGAGAGTCAACAAGATAGCAGACTTTGTTAGCTGAACTTATAATTAGATTTGGGAACTGGCTAAAGAAGAAGACTGTTTGCAAATCAAACCCTTTGTCCCAACCGTCATCAAGTTAGTGAACTCTGATATTAAATCTTAAAGCAATAGAGCCTTTTCTATCATTTAGTAAACTGACGGCCTCTGCTTAAGTGACATTTTATGGATATTTTATATTGTATTCAAAACTGTATCATGAAGAGCAATGTGCGATAAATATATCAGCACTTTAATTCTTACAGTCTCTTTTTAAGCTGGCATATTGTCAGTATTGAAAAGTATAGTCAAATGTTTTAAAATGCTTCATGTTGGTTTTGTGATGGTAGTCTGATGTTTTTATGTCACAACAGATTGTAGATAAATGGCCTTTCACATTCACTTTTGTCTTCAGGCTAATTGCTTTGCACCTGAAAATAATTTCTCCAGGTCCACATTCTGACAGAGCAGGTGTAATTAATAATGCTGATAAACCTGTGAGGTTGGACATGCACACAGACCGGACTGTGTGCTCACACTGACTGCTTTCTTTCTTAGGGTTGGGAATACCGGTATTCCAGGTGTTTGGCTTTTCCACACTGGGAGCCGTTACTCCTTCGAAAACATTGTTCCTGCATCCATTGGTGGCCTCCTTGCTACTGTACCACCTGGAGGACGTGGCCTCTCCCTGGTATTTGAGTTTTTCTTTTTTATTCACTTCATTTTACAGTCAAGAGTTGTTTTTTTGTGACAATATGCAGAAAACTCCTCTGACTCCTACGTGGTTTCTGCCTCTAGGACACCACCACACCTGAGTACGCTGAGTTTGAATATTCAGACAACACTTTTGACCCTGATAACCAGGAGGAAGACGATTACCCTCTGACAGGCGGGGACCCTGAATTCCAGCCAGCCCCCGCTGGTGGTGAGCACTCAGAGTCCCTTCAACCAGCAAGTCCTGATGCTCCCTCCTCCCCTTCAGAGGACTCTGGTCGTCAGGTGTCGTACGGCAACGAAGATGTACCACTGACCTCTGAACCCAGGTACGGCTCAGAGCCAGCACAGAGGCAGTATGCTCCCCCATATTCTCCAGAAGCAGTGCCAGAGGGAGGAGCTCAGCACAGTCCGGAACAGCACCCACAGGTAACACTAAACATTAAACTGCTAATTCCACTAATTATCATGTAAATACTTGTTTTAACATCAGGTCTTACTGGCGCTTTTTGATGCTACTTGATCATATTTTAGTTTCATGTTACAAGAGCTCATGCAGATGGCAGCCCCTGTGTTGCAATCTGTTCAAATTCTCTAAAAAAAAAAAGTAAACTGGCAGCGCTGTCAGAGTTTTGTAATAACGATTTGAAATTATAGTCCCTTTTTGTAAATTCTGTGGTTGTAATGGAACGCTGTTTTGGAGACGGTAGGGTGGAGTCAACAAAATGCTGGCACAGCTGCGATTATGATACCCTACACAGCGTATACAATATGTAAAGAATGCTCAGATCATAGCTCTCGGGTTTATAGCATCTGGAGAGAGTTAAAAACGTATTGGCTTGGCTCTCAATGACAACAGGAAAAACATATTTTCCCGCTGTATTTGTCTCTGTAGGTTCCTCTGGAGGTGGTAGACGTCTACCCCCCTCCCAGAAATGAACCACGTCTCTCGCCCGGAGGTCACGTGGTCAGTGTGGATGAAGATGATGTTGATTTTGACACAGGAGGTAAGAGACAAACCATATGTGTGTATAAATATGCATATATATGTATATATATATATATATATATATATGTAGTTGTCTTGAAAGGACGTTCACTTTGAGAAACAGGAGGGTAACATTACCTCGCCCTCTGCAGCAGAGCAGCTCAGCAGCTGGCAGTACAATACTGCCGTTGTGCTGGGCAGCTCCCAGGTGTGTATGTGTGTGTGTGTGTGTGTGTGTCCAGCACTCCCTTCTCTGAAACTACTCCCACAGGCTTTCGCCGTAAATAAGAATGTGTTCTCAGTCAACTAGCCTGGTTACGTAAGGGTCAAAATGTCTTTTGGTGTGAAAAAGATTTTGATCTTAGCTCAGTTTCGGATGATGAAAGGTTATTTTTCAGCAAAGAAGTCACACATCAGGGCCAAACCCTCAATTAGTGTTAAAGTTCTCATGAAACAAGTTGTTTTGCATCCCAGAGACTATATATGCAAGGGAAATGACGTGCGTTTGTCTGAGAAAAAGCATTATTTTCCAATACACACTTCAACATCCTCGTGAGTTTAATGTTTATGAGTCTTAGAACATAAAAACATTGTGATATTGGTATGTGGGTTTCCCTCCAAAACACTGGCACGTGTATGTGTTTGTGTATTTAAAAGCACATTGATTTGTCTCTTGTGTGTGTGTGCAGTTCCTGAGAAAATATCCCAACATCCTGTGTTCATCTGTGTGTGTGTGTGTGTGTG